GTGGTCATATAGTGTGGTAAAGTATCTTTGGAAGACTTCACCTATTTTTGATGGGAGGGAGTGTATGACTCCCTCCGGTGTCTGTATTTTGTCTATTCTTTTTTGGTCTGTCCTGTGTTTAAGTTTTCTCGCTAGCAGAGTGTCTGCTTTGTTTGATTTTTCATAGTAGGTCTGTTTTGACCATTGTAATGCCTTGGCCGAGTCCTTGGCCATGAAGTCTTTAATTTGAGTGCGGCAGTCTGCCAGTTTTGCGAGAATGTCAGGGGTGGGCTTTCGTTTGTGTTCGGTTTCTAGGTTCCTGAGGGCCTCCAGGGATTTAGCTAGTGATTTTAGTTGAGTTTTCTTATGTGCTGCGGCTAGGCTAATTAATTTCCCCCTAATGACTGCTTTGTGTGCTGCCCATAGTATTCCCGGAGAGGGTGCTGAGGGTGCATTATTGGTAAAATATTCTGACAAGTCTTTGTGAATGGTGTCTCTCAGGAGGGGGTTATGTAGCAGAGTCGGGTTCAGTCTCCAGGTCCAGGGGCGCGCTACATTTGGGATTTTTATTGTTAGAGTTATGTCCGCATGATCTGACCATGTTATGTTGCCTATGGTGGCCGTGTGGACCATGGGTAGGAGGGAGGGGGAGATCAAAAATAGGTCTATACGTGAGTATGAGTTGTGTGGGTGGGAAAAGAATGTAAAGTCATGTGTGGTTGGGTGTAGTGTTCGCCACACATCAACCAATCGTGTTTGGAGGGTGAATGCTAGTAGCAGTTTGTCTACTTTGGTTGTAGGGGCTGTGTTTTGTCCGTGTCGGCGGGTGCGGTGTCTGTCTGTCGCCGGTGACAACGTAGCATTGAAATCTCCTCCAATAATTTTGAGGTGGCCTGGGGTTAGTGTCAGGTGGGCCTGTAGTGTATCCCAGAATGATTTGTCAGGGATGTTCGGTGCATAGAGTGTTGTGATGGCATATTTGTTGGGGCCTGCCTGGCCTGTGAGTGTCAGGAACCTGCCTTGGGGGTCTCTAATAACTTGTTTTACGTTTAGGGGACATGTCTTGCGTAGCAGTATGGCTACTCCATTCTGTTTGGTGTTGGGGGAGTTAGCAGTATAGCATTCTCTAAAGTGCCGGCTGAGGAGGGGAAACGGTTTGGTCTGGGTGAAGTGAGTTTCTTGTAGTAGCATTATATCTGCTCCTGTGCGGTTCGCCCACCTCATAAGTCTGTGTCTCTTCGCTGGATTGTTGAGGCCTTTGCAGTTAATGGAAATGCAGGTGAGTTTGGCAGTCATAATGTCTGGTTGTTCTCACAGGGGGTGTTGTTTTCTGGGGTTATTCGTGTGTATGTGTTAGGGCGGTGCGCCTGGCTATGAGGAGGGATAGGGTAAGGGGGAGGGATGATGCCAGAGGGTGAGGGCGTGTATGCCTAGGTTTCGTTCCAAGGATTGAGTTCTGAGGTTTTACGCCCCGGTGGGGTATTTGTGTATGTAGGGGCGGGTTGGTCGGGATGTGCCTGGTCTGATACCGAAGTTGCCAGGAGTGTTGGGGACGGAGGTGGAGGGGGTTTGGGTGTCTGTACCTTGTACTGATCCAAACCGGTTCCCTCTATGTAGCCGCTTGTAAAGCGGTGGGAGCCGTTGTAAGTGGTGGTAATAGAGGTGTGTGGGTTGAGTAGGAAGTGTCGAGAGGGGTGTCTCTTCTCTCCTCCCGTCACTTCGGAGTGTTGTGAATTTACCTCTGGTGTTGTCTTATCAGGTTATTCATATCCTTCGGTGGGGGGGTCCGAATAGAATCGCCGTAGCGGGTGTCATGGCTTCTGTAAAGGTATCAATGTAACAGATATCGTTATTTTATACCAGGTGGTTGAGGGTCTCAATATTGTCTGTTGGATTGGGTCCATTGTCTCCTGGAGCGTTCTTTGGGTTGTGGTGAGAGTTGGAGTGCATCGTGTGTTGCGTGTCATGGGTCTGATAATTATACGGTCACAGGCGTCATGTAGTGTCGTTCCTGTGTGTGCGTGTCCCTTGTTGGGGGTCAGGGTTTCTTCCTACCCTTGGGGGTCTTAGTGTTTCGGTTTGGTGGCCCCAACATCTCCATTGCGGTGATGTTCCTAGAGTCCCCAGGGGGGGCCTGTTGTCCGTGCTGTGGGGTCGTGCCTGTGGTGGGGTCAGTTAATAGTCTGTGGGTACAATGCACAACACATTTACGAACAATATTTACATTTTCACATTTGCAATACCTCATTAGAAACCCATTGAGAGCTTGTACAAGGTCCCCTTTACCCTCTTTCCATATTATGCGGGAGATGGGCAGTATGATCTTAAGGGGTGGGCAGTATGCCCTGTTGTAGGCTATGTATAAAGTGTCACACTTAGAGTTGAGGGTGCTGTCTAGGGGAGCGGGTCATGGGAGTATCAGGTTTTTTTTTTTTATTTTATTTTTTTTTATATTATTTTTATTTTTTATTTTTTTATTATGAAATATGCTGTTACCTCGAGTCTGCCCTAGTGTCTCCTCTGTTAGTGGCAATTAGTGGTGGTGTTCAGTGGGTGTCTGTGCATGCTCTGTTGTGTTATGGTGGCTCCCTCGGGGAAGATGGGGATTGCCCATGTTAAGATTTGTGTGACTGTTCTGTGGCCCTGCTAGCTTATATTAAAGTTTTTTTTTTTTTTTTTTGGGGCAGTTGAGTATCCCAGGCCTGGAGGGCGTCCGTCTGTGTCCAAGTGTCTGGACTTACTGAGCTGTACTAAGCATTCAACATATTAACCGTTCATACTCATAACTTATTTACATTTGTTTAACCTCCCACTGTGTGATCCACACTCCAGCTTTTACCGCCCATAACATACCGTTGGTGTGTGAGTTTTACGTGTGTAATACAGCTCCTGTTTTGGTTGATGTGGACTGGGGGCTCTTTAGAGATAGAGCTGAGTGCAGTGTCTGGGAGGTGGGTGCATGCTGGTAAGGGGGGGTACCCAGGGTGTCCGTGTTGGTGGTCTTTTGTTAGCAGTGCTACGTGGGCCCTGCAACTTCAATCCCTGGTCCCTGTATTAACAGCTACTGTACCGCAAAACATTACATGTATGCATGAAATACATTATGTGGCTTGTGATGGTATAGTAATGGTATAGTAAGTAAACATAGTAAGTAAATATATAGAACCTGTCCCATCATCTAGCACGCCTCCCTATACGGGAAACCTGTTTGCTGCATGTCCATCAGGTAGCCGTTGGGTCGGTATTCTCAGCCCGTGGTGGGGGTCTCTTCTTAGCTTGGTTTCGGGGTGGTTGTGCTGCTCTGTGATGTTCTCCGTGAGCTGTGTTGTACCGGTCGGCTGCCTGCGTCCCGGTGAAGAGCTGGAGGCCCAGGGCTGTAGCAAAGTCCTCCATTTCCGCGGGGTGGTGTAGAACGTGGTCTTGGTCGTCCAGGCGCACTTGTAGTTTAAAAGGGTGGCCCCATCTGTATTTCAGACCCTTTTTGGTTAAGGCCATCGTCAGGGGTTTCAGGTCCCTTCTTTTCTTTAGGGTAGACGGTGCCAGATCCTGAAAAAAGGCCAACGTGGAGGCTCCATATTTTGGTGGTGAGGCCCTGGTGGCAGCCATTATTTTTTCTTTTGTAGCGAAGTGCTGCATGCGGACTATAACGTCCCTAGGTGAGGTGGGATTGAGCGCCAGGGGCCTCAGTGCTCTGTGGGCCCGTTCGATGTCGCATTCCTGTTCGGTGGAGTCTGGTAGTATTGTGTGAAAGAGGTAGCGGAGCGTGGGTAAAATGGCGTCGGCATCCACAGCTTCCGGTAGGCCTCTTATCCTGATATTATTTCTGCGAGAACGGTTGTTTAAGTCTTCTAAGCTGTCTTCCAGATACTGTATCTTGTCGCTTAGGTAATAGATGTCTTGCCCATGTTGCGATGAGGTTGATTGGAGCAGTGTAATGTCTGATTCTGCCTGTGTTGCACGAGTGTTGAGGGCCTCGAGGTCTTCCTTAATGCCTGAGATGTGCCGCTCTAATTCTGCCGCTGTATGGGCCTTTATTTCGGCTGTGGCTTCTTTGAGCATGTTGTGGAGGTCTGCCTTCGTGAGAGGCTCTTGTCTCCTGTCTGTGTCCTCATCGTTGTCGGATTCTGAGCCCGAATCGTGGGTGTTTTGTGCCTCCTGGCTCAAAGATGGCCGCGTTAATTCTCTGGCGGTGCGGAACATTGAGGCCACTGAGGTCGGTTGTTCCTTTCTTTTTTTAGTGCCCCCCATCGGTATTTCTGATGGGCGGCTGTGTGGGTATCTGTTAACCTGTTTATAAGGCTGGATGCCTGGGGGAAGCTGCTGATGTTTGCTGATTGTCACTCCTGGACGGGAGAGCTCGAGCTTTACACGTCTTGCTCCATTGGTGTCCAGGCTCCGCCCCCGGCACATGCCATTTTAAACCCTCCTCTGCCTCACAGGTTATCACAACAGAGGTACACACACACAGCGTTAGCGTTAATAGCGAACATGAAGTCACCAAGACACAGTGTAAAGGAGCAATTATCTCCAACAAACTTTTCTATATATTTAAATATTTCAGTCTGAAAAAAATAAAATAAAAAATCATCTTTAAGAGAACCGTCACAGGGAATAAGGAACTACAACACAAACTATAAATTATACATTTTATTTACATTTTGGCAAATTACAATGGTAAGAAACGGCCGGTATTACTGTGAAGCAGCTTATTTGTTTCCTTATGACAAATATAAATAAAGTAATACATACAAGGTTATTTGTTAAAGAGGGAATTCTAAGCAAATTAACAGCGATTTAAAATTTAAGGATAGTTGATTCTGCATAGCTGAATTTTTCAATTTAGTCTATTTTGACCTTAAATTTGAAATTCACTTTGAATCCTCACGTTGGTACAATACAATGGCTTGCGATGTTCTGTAAATGATCTTTGAAAGTCCTTTGTTCCTGAATTTTAATTCCACGTTTCGGAGAGTTGATAGATAAACAGCCATAATTTCAGTGTATTTATCAGACCTCGAACTTCAGCTGACACAGCACCATGGACAAAATGGCTTCACCTTGATATCACGGAAGAAAAAGAGTTTGTCTTCTTGATGATCAGATTTTCTGTGTTTTATGAAATACACAAGTCTTTTCTTTTCTGTAAAGCTAATGTTTCCTTTAATTTTTAGAATAGCATTCAGATGTTCTTCCCTTAAAAATAAAACAAAGTGAGACCATTAGCATTTCAAGGACAACAGGAAAAATTCACCGTTACAAGTGTGTAATAATATCTTACCGAGCCATGGAGATATATTTAATAAGGAGCTTAAAGGCATTGTCTGGCAAGAACAATGGCGGAGCAACTTAAAGGGACACTAGTCCCCCAGACCACTTCATCTCATTAAAGTGATGTGGGTGCAGGGTCCCCATCCTCTTAACCCTACAATGTAAAGCATTTAAGTTTTTGAGATACTGCAATGTTTACATAGCAGCATTAAGACTGCCTCTAGTGGTTGTCAGTATAACCGCTACAAGAGGTGCCTACTCCGCACTGACAGAGTAAAAATCTGTCACATGATGTGGAAGCCATTAGGAAAGCATTGATTCAATGTTTTCCAATGTGATAATTGGAATGCGCTCACCACACATATGCACTGGGTCCCAATACTCCTCTATGAAGAGCATTCGATTGGACCACACCAGAGGAGGCCTCCGTGATATTGTGGGAGGCAGGGAGGTGAGCAGTGCCAAGGGGGCATTGGTGCTGGAAAAGTGTAAGTAAAACTTTTTTGTCACATTATTTTGCAGTTGGAGGGTATCTGACTACAAGTAGGGACAGAAGCACTATAGCATTCGGAAAACCGATTTTTACACCTATCGTTATAGTGTTCCTTTAATGAGCAATTAATTGGATGCAATGACATGTTATTAGGCCATTATATGTTAACACCATCCAATTAACGATTGCTTAATCACGTAACAAGTTATAGAGATTGATGTAACAGTTACGGTCACACAGTAAGGAGTCAAACAATTTTAGAACAGTTTGACACTTATCTGGGTTAACAGGTCATTCTAGTCTGCTCCGTATTAACAAAAGTGGAGATTCTTATCCAAATGAGCAAGAACAAGGCTGGGCAACTTTTTCCATCATTCACTGACTGATCATGTCAGCTGACACTCAATAATCTACTATAAACGATAGCGGTTCTGGTGCTAAGAGTGTTGAAGCACCTTTTATAATCTTTTTCCTTTCATATACTGATAATTCCGTTGATAGCACACTTTATGATTCTAAGCACCAAAAAAACTTTAGCTGATCTGACTCCGCACTCTTTGTTTACTTTATCTCCAGCTCTGTTTGTTGAACACACACAGAAGGCTCTTGTAGGATCTAGCATGGAATTAACAGAGCAGGAGATGAGAAATTCTAAATTAAACAGACTGTGCAGTAAAGGAAATATGAAAATTATCTCTTTACAGGAAGTGTGTAGGTAGGCTGTGTGAGTCACAGCCAAGGGAGGCGTGGCTACGACTGCATAAACAAAGTGATTTAACTCCACAATGGCAAAAAAATTCACAGAGAAAGTCCGTATTAATTTACCTTAAGTCTTGATGGTCGTTACTAAAGAAAGCGATGGTTGTTTCTAAAGACTTACTATCTTGAGAATTGAGTATATTTATGATATATTGCAAAGGATCCTTCCTCTTCACCTCGTCTGACACCTATATTTGAGAAATTAAAGATAAAATACAATTCTATTTTAAACAGACACTTACACCAGGATTTTCATTTACACATCTATGCACGTTTAAGTTAAGCTGTAAAATAAAATTAAATAGCTGAGTCGTAAAAACAAAGACCTAATTTCCTACCTTGTCACTATCATTTACTGACGATTCAGTTATAGCTAAAGTGGCAGTCACTCTGCACTGCCACTAACACCCTATTGCTCGTTGGGAGAAAGGTGCACTGCGCATCCCCTGCCGTTCCTTGTTTAACTTGCCACTGATTGTATCTATTTTAAAATCCTTAAAAAATGACTGGCTGTGTTGGTTGTCATGTTTCTCCTCTACTGATAGCAAAAGAAATGAGTCTAAATTTTTCAGTATCCCAACAGAATTGGAAATGCCCAAATCATGCCATGCTGGGCTATCTGGAAATCACTAGTGATGGAATGAGGTCCAGCACATATGTAAAATGTTTGAAAATTCTAAATTCAGAAACGGAAGTAGTTAAATTACCTTTAAAGTATTTTTATAACAAAGAATTACCCAGTTGAGTAAAACTACATGCAATTAGTATTGAAGGGACTCTCCAAGCATCTTAACTACAACAGAGCAGAATTCACTGTAGTTGTTATGGTACCAGGAGTGTCCTGCCACCCTCCCCCACAGAAGCAAGACTATTTATATTGGGACAGGCTCTCCTGGCACCATAGTGCGCTGTAGTGGTTATGGTACTTGGAGTGTTCCTTTAAGAACCAGTTTCAACCTTTTGGTACCAGGTGGTGCGCATCACATTACAGATCACTTGTTTATTTAAATATATCAACACTCACTAAGCTTTGGAAGAAATTCTGCAAAGGTTTACTTCCATTCATAAACGCTTCAGCTTTACTCGTGCCTTCTATTTTGTTCGAGTAGTTAAAAAAGGCTTGAATGTACAATCCAACAATAACACACAGCTCGGTCTTGATAACAATCTACAAACAGAAACAAATAGATTGTTATTGCAGGTCGTAAATGTTTAATGTAAAAAATACAGGGAGTGCAGAATTATTAGGCAAATGAGTATTTTGACCACATCATCCTCTTTATGCATGTTGTCTTACTCCAAGCTGTATAGGCTCGAAAGCCTACTACCAATTAAGCATATTAGGTGATGTGCATCTCTGTAATGAGAAGGGGTGTGGTCTAATGACATCAACACCCTATATCAGGTGTGCATAATTATTAGGCAACTTCCTTTCCTTTGGCAAAATGGGTCAAAAGAAGGACTTGACAGGCTCAGAAAAGTCAAAAATAGTGAGATATCTTGCAGAGGGATGCAGCACTCTTAAAATTGCAAAGCTTCTGAAGCGTGATCATCGAACAATCAAGCGTTTCATTCAAAATAGTCAACAGGGTCGCAAGAAGCGTGTGGAAAAACCAAGGCGCAAAATAACTGCCCATGAACTGAGAAAAGTCAAGCGTGCAGCTGCCACGATGCCACTTGCCACCAGTTTGGCCATATTTCAGAGCTGCAACATCACTGGAGTGCCCAAAAGCACAAGGTGTGCAATACTCAGAGACATGGCCAAGGTAAGAAAGGCTGAAAGACGACCACCACTGAACAAGACACACAAGCTGAAACATCAAGACTGGGCCAAGAAATATCTCAAGACTGATTTTTCTAAGGTTTTATGGACTGATGAAATGAGAGTGAGTCTTGATGGGCCAGATGGATGGGCCCGTGGCTGGATTGGTAAAGGGCAGAGAGCTCCAGTCCGACTCAGACGCCAGCAAGGTGGAGGTGGAGTACTGGTTTGGGCTGGTATCATCAAAGATGAGCTTGTGGGGCCTTTTCGGGTTGAGGATGGAGTCAAGCTCAACTCCCAGTCCTACTGCCAGTTCCTGGAAGACACCTTCTTCAAGCAGTGGTACAGGAAGAAGTCTGCATCCTTCAAGAAAAACATGATTTTCATGCAGGACAATGCTCCATCACACGCGTCCAAGTACTCCACAGCGTGGCTGGCAAGAAAGGGTATAAAAGAAGAAAATCTAATGACATGGCCTCCTTGTTCACCTGATCTGAACCCCATTGAGAACCTGTGGTCCATCATCAAATGTGAGATTTACAAGGAGGGAAAACAGTACACCTCTCTGAACAGTGTCTGGGAGGCTGTGGTTGCTGCTGCACGCAATGTTGATGGTGAACAGATCAAAACACTGACAGAATCCATGGATGGCAGGCTTTTGAGTGTCCTTGCAAAGAAAGGTGGCTATATTGGTCACTGATTTGTTTTTGTTTTGTTTTTGAATGTCAGAAATGTATATTTGTGAATGTTGAGATGTTATATTGGTTTCACTGGTAATAATAAATAATTGAAATGGGTATATATTTGTTTTTTGTTAAGTTGCCTAATAATTATGCACAGTAATAGTCACCTGCACACACAGATATCCCCCTAACATAGCTATAACTAAAAACAAACTAAAAACTACTTCCAAAAATATTCAGCTTTGATATTAATGAGTTTTTTGGGTTCATTGAGAACATGGTTGTTGTTCAATAATAAAATTAATCCTCAAAAATACAACTTGCCTAATAATTCTGCACTCCCTGTATATACTGTCTCGATGAGATGGAGATGAAGTACTCATATAAAACTTCTGGAGTGTTCCAAGAGGTCCCTATTCAAATCAAGTCCATTATCTTTAGTGTTGAAGAAAATTATCATTCTGGACTCCGATGCTTTCCTCCTCTCCAATAGCCAAACTGAAAACATAGCGGTCTTAAATGTTACTAATTTGGCTAATAATGTGGAATTCACTTTGAATTCTCTCTCACCCTTACTGAATCCTGTCTGTTGTATGTGATATATAATATATATTTAATTAATTTTTTGTTTCAGGTTATGGTACCAGGAGTCCCCTAGCTCCATGTAACGGTAACATGTGAAAAGGACACTGATTTTATTCTGTTTCCTGTCTGAAAACATATTACAAACTATAAGTTTATACTTCCGCATTATCATACCAAGTTTGGATAGTATTATTTGGCTGAGAGTTGTAAACAAATTGACAGCCATTGACCGTCACTAGGGGGTCTCCTGGTAGCTCAAAATTTCAAGTCCTAATCTGCCAGGTAGACCAAACAGTTACTCGTTACTGCAAGCCTTGATGGTCCATGACACGCTCATCCAGGTTAAATTTCTATTTGCCAGGGATGAATTTCCACTCGCCAACTGCTAATGGACAAATTAAAATTTTGAGCCCTGCATTACAGTATCCCTTTTAGTGCATTTAAAGAAAAATGGGGGGGGGAGAGTGAAGAAAAATTCTTGCAATGTATCCTTCTGTTTGTTAGCTGTGCCGCTGTGCTCACCTGTTACTCCTGCTCCTAGAACACATTGATAAATCCTTCTAACAATAATTGACAAATCAGAACTTGAGAGAACTTCCTTCGTGTTCTAATTAAATGCCAAATTGAATCATTCTTTTCTCACCTTGTTATTTTGTATTCCCGCATGTTCGATGCTGTTTTGAAGTTCCTGAAGGACATCTTTAAATTTGATGTTATCAGTAAAGTAGTTTTTAAAAGGTTTCTGTCACAGAGAATAAAAATAAATGTCAATTTATAAATATTATAACCACAAAGGAAGAAATGCAAGATTATTTGTAGGACACCTAGGGCTGTCCTACACTACCTACATACCGCTATTTGTCATTTCAATAAACATTAGTAATTACTATGGGTAAGTTATTGTAGCGGAGCTCCAATATTCAGCATAAATATCTTCGCTGTAGAATCCTTGTAATACGGCCGGTCTTCTTTCGGGGGTTCTCATACAAATGCTGACGAAGGCTCCCCCTGGCTGCTAACATAGAATGTTGCCCCAGTTCGTTAGTTTAGGTCTCCCGAACGTATTTCTCCTACTGGTTCGGGAAGTTGGATGGGCAGCAGCATCCGTTTACCTGGTGTTCACGGAGTAAAGTAGCCAAAATTAGTTCCAGGTCGTCGACGACCATGTACCGCTGCCCGTGTTTGAGAGACAAAATGGCTGACATTTGTTTGCACACATGCGTTTGGTAATATGAACAGCGGCCACACAGGGGAAACGCTTTCTTTAACAAGCAATTTTTGATTAAATGATGCGAACCCAGGGGCCACACAGATGGGGTTTGGTTAACAAACGGTGGGTACAGACAGCCGAACAAAGGAAATGAAAAAGGGTATTACAACGTTCATTCTGCTACAGTTATTTATGTTGTCAATATGCTTTAAGTTGCTGTTACTGACCTTCATGAGTGACAGATGTTTATCAACTGCAGCATCTCACCATTAGCAACAGGGAATTACTGGATACTGCTAATATCTCCTGCAGGATAACAACAGGCCCTTATAGGCTAATAAGTAATTGGCCAAGGGTTCCGTTGGACATTCCCCTGGCCCCAATATATTCTCATTCACCGTGTTGTACATTAAATCAAGGAATGCGTAGGGGCTTGATGAGTGACCCCTGTGGGGGGGGGGGGGTTTGTAATAGATATTTGATCTGCTCTTTGTGTGTAAGCTAAATGGCTCCCTATAATGTATGTAGAGCGAGTAATGGTTGTCTGTTAAGACGTACCGACAACGCATGCTCACACCAAATGTACATGCTGATACGGACAATGGGGAAGGTGTCACTCATAGGGTTCATACAGGTTGTCTTTGATTAATTTTCTTGTGTAAAAATAAATTATTTTGTGTTATATCTCTATTAAATGAGTACAGTTTAAATAAGTTGCAGGGAAAAAAATACTCTTTTTTTTTAAAGGATTGATCGTCTTCGTGTAGTTTTTAAAGCATTAACATTGCAACATGAAATACATTCGCCGAATAACTGACATATACAACATGCTTTTTGTTTGATATTTAAGCTACGTAGATAAAGTCCAAAACTGTGGAATGAGGAAGCAAAAAAAAAGTAAAAATGGTACGTGATGACATTTATTCGCAGTAGCCATGTATGCTTTTAAGACAAAAAATCTATAGGAAAATGGGCATAGGTACAAACTGTAATCTGTGTAAAGATAACATTGTAATATAGGTAAGGGATATATATAGTTATACTGTCCTGTTCACCTACAATGTTACTAATTTCTCTGGGACATTATATCTCTGTCTTCCTCTAACATCACAAAACAATCATACAAAACCCCAAATGGGGACATTATAAGATGTGTTGCATATTTTGGACCTTTTCTCTATCTGACCCAAACCTTTTGGTGTGGTCTATTTTAGTGTAATGCGGAACCAATGAAGTGTACTAAGGTATATGCACTTGCGTGATTAAAGGGTGATACAGAAACCGCTGCGTTTCGCTCATATTGCAATTTGCAAACCACTAAACGGGTTCACACAAATTGCACGTTGTCTGCAGCTGAATGTTCCCCCACCCCCCCTTCCCTCCAATATATGATCGATCCATATAATTCAGCAGCTGGATGTTCTAATCCAAAGAGGAACTAACGTCTAGAATAGTAAAATTGCTCACATATGTGGCTCTAAATTGGCACCTACCCTAGGACATACTGAAGTGTGTCACTCGTGAGATGCTAGCAAATTAAGAGTTATAGCTACAATGCAGAATTTTCACATTTGTAAATAAAACCCAATTCCTATATTTTATTGCTTTGTGATATTCTCTGTCCATACAGATTGTTATGTTCTTTTCGACAGATGAGTTGAGATCTGTTTTGATAGCTACAGCTAAGATAAGGAATTATGTCAACAATTTAAATTATTGTGAAACAGGTTATTGAATTTTTGCGAGCAGATGACTTAAGTATTAATTATTATTTGAATACAACATACCTTGAATGTTAATTTCAAGGTGGCGGAGAAGAGTTTGATTCCACGATCCTCAATTTCATGAATAATATTTATTATTTCCAAATACAGAGTAGACTTGACTCGAAGTGTGTCTCCTACATCCTCAAGTGTATTCCTTAGATTAATAAGCAATAAATATATAAATCAATCAATCAAAACTTGGTTGTAGGTACAAAGACAACTATAGGATTAGAAGATTCCATATTATTTAGATCACAATTACTGGTCTAATACAGAAAACATTTATTAAAAATAAAAAGCCCACAAAAATACACAATAGTTAAGCATTACATGTAAAAATTACAGAGTGTTAAGATGCAGAGTAAGGAGATACGATTCTGAGCACAATAGGTCACAGTCCTGTGGGTCTCTCGCATCAAGACAAGTGCAAGCCCCACCAGTGTCGATCTGCCTACCTTGAACCCCACCAGTGTCTATCTACTTAGCTTGAACCCCATCAGTGTCTTTCTGCTTACCTTGAACTCCACCAGTGTCTATCTGCTTTCCTTGAACCCCACCAGTGTCTGTCTGCCTACCTTGAACCCCACCAGTGTCTATCAAGGTAGATACCAGATTGAATCAAATGTTCATGTTGTTTTTTTGTGGTTTTTTTGTTCTAAAGTGCCTCGTATGTAAATCCAACTTTCATCTTAATAGTTTAGACTAGGTGTAACCAATCAATAGAAGTCACCCTTGTATTAAACAATTATAAAATTCTGATTACAACAACCCGACTATTATTATTATAGTCTCCCATCTTATATGAAATCATTAAGAAAGACAAGAACATCAAAAAAAAAATTTTAAGCAATAATTAATGGCATGCTTCCTTTGAGTCATAGTATTTTTACTAACTTGTTGTGTCGGTAATATGAGTGTATTTTTCCAATGACTTAAGTCATGGGAGCTTCTTTAAAATGTAAATATTTTTTGCTGTGGTTTTGCACTCCATTAATTTACTTTTTTCTTAGTTATAGTTATTTTCATTTCTTTTTTTTTTTTTAGCTTTTTCATAGATTTACTCCAACCACAAAACTTCTGCTTTCATTAACTACTGTCTGTGTATTGCGTGCCATAAAATAATCTTAGTTCTATGGCAGTCTGACATTTTTGCTCATATTCTACAGGAAATAGTTTTATGTAATTGTGAATAAATATGTTCGTACAATCCTAAAATTGGCATATGCAAATATTGGACCTCTGATTATTAGCAAACTACAACTACAGGTAATCTTTGCTAGACTACACAGCTAAAGTTATTCACTAAACTAAAACATTTTCACATGATACATATTCAGAAGAATAAATAATGGTGGTAGCGTAAAAGATGTACTATTCTTTAAAAATGTCTAAACTACTTTCAATCCCTACACATCTGCATCAGCTTAATCAGCTATAAATGTGTTTTGGGGGCATGGCGGCTGTGCAAGAAAGGATGCTAACCGGATCAGTGTGACCTTGTCCCAGCCGGGAGGCAAAAGACAACACCATTAGGATGTTGAATGCGATACAGTTTGTGCAATCACAATGTCACTCAGAGATTCTCTCTGCTGATACAGAGAAGGCTTTCAACCAGCTGGACTGGCAGTTTATGCACGCAACACTGCGTAGGATGGGACTTGGGGATGTAGGCACTCTGTATTAACCATACAGCCTAAATTAAAATAAACAGGGCGCTGACAGTCATCATCACAAACTGGACCAGGCAGGGTTGCCCCCTGTCTCCATTATTGTTTCTACTAACTTTAGAGCCATTATTGGAGGCCATATGAGACAACCCGGATATTCATGGACTCCCAATTCAAACAGAGGAACATAAAGAAGCTGCATTTGCAGATGACATGCTATTTTTTTTGTCTCAAGACCGGACATAACTTTATCCAACATAATTAAGGAACTTGAGACATACGGGAGACTGAGCAATCTAAAATCAATGCAGACAAAATACAAAATATATCATTGGGAGAGAGGAGGCCCCTAGGTTCAATATCCAGATCTAGGTACGGACCCCACCTGCCTTAGTGCAAAGTGAAAATATTTTTTTTTCTCTCCCTCTCTTTCGCTACACCTTAGCACTCATTTGCACATGCCTGTTAAAAACAGTATGCTGTGAAAAACAATCAGGAAAAAATTGTGGACATTTCATTTTAAACAATATGTGGAGCCGTACAGTCTACATACTCTTATTTGGAGAATCACTGTACACTGTTTATAAATAAATGACTGAATAAATAAAGATTGTCAAAACTAAAAATAAATGTGTGTCAAATTTGGGGGGGGATCAGAGGGGAATAATGTTTGATTCCGGAGTGATTTCCCAAATTCATAAATGTGAATAAGGAAAATGGATAAATTCATTATTGTGATTTCCACAGGCACCATTAAATCATGCCTACATGCTTCTACTCCTATGGTGGAAATAGGGGATTAAAACAAATTAAAATGGAGATCCAGAGGAACCCATGTTGAGGAGTCCTTCAAATACCCCTCCCCCTGTAACTCTTTAATGTGTATTAGGAGAGGAGTTAAAATTGAATTGCTATTAAGGTGTCCCTGCATTACTCTCTATGCCTCCAAATTTGTATTTAAATATAAGGGTGTTTCCTCTATAACATTTTATCTGTAGCACGGGGTAGCCAAAATGTAGATCCCCAGTTGTGATATCTCAAAAAACCCAATGTGATTGGCTGGATCAATTCAGACAATCACATTGGCCTCTCGCAACAAGCTACGAGTTACAACATTAATCACTCATTCACTACACATTGGGTGAGGACAAAAAACATTTTAAATCTTCCCTAGCGGCCCTATTGGATATGTTCTGCACATCTACTGAAAGCAATGGGAAGGCTAGGATTGGTTAACGCGGGAGCCACTTCCTTGTCTAGACAGAGCTTACTGAAGAAGCTGCAACTTCTTCGTAAAGGTTTTGCAGTAAACAGAAGCTCAATTAATATTTTATTTTGCATTACTTTAGTTTAGTTTGTTTTGTTATTATCCATATTATGCAATATAAAATGTGGGTCAACTGTAGCTTTGAGAATTTCTCATACCTTTTTGAAACATAAAAAAAGATTCTCTCATAGAAATGTATCTTGTTGAACATTCTTGATGCTGTGACACAACACATCTGATTTTTATAATATTAAGTGATATAATGCTCATCACTTTAATCCTCATCACTATAAATACCTCAAAATCTGGCAATTTTTTACAATCCGTAGAGGCACGCACAATTGTTTTCCAGAATCGCTTCGTTCAACCTTTGCTTCCAGAAACGTATTATAGCTAGATTAAAGAAAAGGTTGGTTAAAATTCTTGTTTGATTTTCATTAACATTTTCCTGAAAATAAAATAGTTTATTGAAATTAGATCATTTAGTAGTTCGGAATGGTTTAAATGTTATGTGAATGGTGTTAATTGGGACTCAAAAGGTTCCTTTTCCTCCAAACTTAGGGTTTGGCTCACAGCTTGGTTTACATATTTCTCTCTGCATAACCTGTCTGCCTGGAGGTCAGATTCTTACAAAAAACAATGTAACTTTATTATATATACTCCTGAACACCTCTTGTTAAAAGACTCCAAGCACCATAACCACTACAGCTCGTGCACCCAGCCAATAAGCATGGCCATGCTTAGTTTAGTTGAGCTATCTGGATTCTACCGCAGGAGAATCTCAGAAATAGAAGGCGTGACTGCTGGACCCAGTGGGACCCAAATAATTTATCAAGCCAATCGAAAACAGTTTGACAAATTACATTAGGCTGGTGCTAGGGTTCTGGTGTCACCATAACCACTACAGCAGGCAGTAGTGTTTATCTTGCTTGGAGTTTTCCTTTAATGACATGGAAGCAACTCAATGCTTAAACGTGTGGAGACATTCTCAAGAGGTTGTTATTTTTTTTCAAATCAAACATCAGAATGGAGTAGAAATGAGATCTCACTGACTGACCACTGAATTGTTGCCGTTGGATGCGGTGGTTTCAGTATTTCAGAACATTATAATCAATTTTCATGCACACAATTTTTTTTAGTTTGTAGAGAATGATGGGGGAAAAAAACATCTATTGAGCAAATTCTGTGGATAAAATGTCTTGTTCATGATATCGTTCTGTGGAAAAATGGCCAGACTGGTTCAAACTAAGAGACAACAGTAACTAAAATAACCACACGTTACAGTGCTGGGTAGGAGTGTATCTCCAAATGCACAACACTTCAAACCTATAAGCTAATAGGTTACAACAGAAAACCACCCGAGCTCCACTCCTGCCCGCTAGGAACAAGAAACCAAGACTTCAGTGGGCACAGTACACTAAAACTGGGCAGTAGAAATTGGAAAATCCTTGATAGATTTCAAACAGGTAGCTGGTAGGGTTAGAATTTGAATTGAACCATGGATTCATCTGGCCGTGAATACCAGCTGAGCATTAGTTAAATGCATTGATACGGACAATCTACATTTCATTAGGGCCAAAGTCTAACCATCTTCTGTATCCACTTCCAGAAGGCTACACATCTTCTCAAACTGTCTACAAAAACCAGACAATGATAGGCATGTCATTTCAATTGTCTACAGACAAGACCTTGAGTGGCACGTCTTGCCAAATGTCTACAAACTAGACAATGAGGTCAGTGTACTGCCATAGCTTTCACAGTCAACATATTCAACAGAACATCTTCACAATGTGGTGGAATGGGTTATTTGAAAAATGAATTTGTAGACAACAAATCTGCAGCAACTATGTGACACTGCGATACTAATCATAGACCGCAATCTCTAATGCATTTTACGAGAATATGGTTGAGTAAATGCCATGCATAATTCAAGCTGGTCAGAGGTCAAAAAGGGACCTGTCCAGTAATAGAAAGGTGTACCTACAAAAGTAGACATTGAGTGTGCATGCTTGTAACTAGCCTCTGTTCATCTCACTAATAGTTGTGTTTTCTAGCTCAATATTATCCCCCTGCCTCCAAGGGATAGATAATAAATCAACTAGCTATGAAGACATGTGAAAAACATGAGGTGTGCACCAGAAATATTCCTGGACCTCCTAACCTGGTGATACGTTCACTTCAACTAATTGTATTGGAGGCCTGTGGTATTCAATGAGCTGTATTTCAGACTAACTTATATTTCTTATATTTTTATTATATCTTTCCATGGTCTGAGGTTTTGTTTCGTTTTTTTCCATATACAACGTGGACAATGTATTAACAAGGTGCATTTAATTTTAGGGTTACATTTCAGCAACAATTACATAACTGGCATATTTACCTTGATGGTTATGATATCTGATACACATGTTAATGTGAACCAATTCTTAACAGATCATACACTGATAGTATAAAGTTGACTTGTCTGCATGTACCTGATACTTGTGCAAATAAGTGTTAGTTTAACCATTAATATTTAACAAATATTTGCTTGTCTTTGGTTTTCCCTAGGTAAGATACTTGAGCTCTCTATAAATATGTTCTCAATGCTATAGACTGTAACAATATAATAAAATTATCTCACAAATTCTATCCCAGTATGGATCCACTATACATTTTAAACATTTTAAATTAACCTTTTAAATAAATCCAGATTTCAACCAAATAACCATATGGCAGAAGCTAGAGTGCATGCTTTCATAGGAACATTTAAATTTTTATTGTTAAAGTTCTACCCAAGCGAGCGTTGAAACTTTAAGAGTTTTCTAAAGAATATTGCACCTAATTGTTATTTTATCGGCCAATGACAAAAGTTTACACTGTAGCGGCCCTTCCAATAACCATTCACTCTACAGCTCACCATATCTCCAAATAATGTAAACTCGCTTGGAACCAGAATAACATTTCTGTAAACATTTCTGAAAAGATTGAAGCTCAGAGGAAAAATATTACCGTTTCAAAAACTGTAGAACTTCATCCAAAAATACTCCTCGAACATCCGATACTAACTTATCACCAAGATCTTCAACGGCCTTGAGTACATCCATTGCTTCCTAAAATATATATGTTAGACAAATGTCATTTTACATGTTTAGCATCTGTGTACACATTAATGGCACAAAAAAAAATTGGAATCTCAAATATTAAATGTCATCTATAATCAAAGAGATATTTTTTTTTTTTTATGAACAAAGCTTTATACAAATAAAGATTTACCTTCAGTATTGATGATGTCAAAGCCAAAATGTACACCAATTTAGGGTTGTAGCTTGTAATCTTTATGAAGCTTTTTTTTCCAATTTGCTTAAATCTTAACATTTCAGTGGTATCTTATGGGGTTATTCAGGAAACTGGCAATTTTCTGTAATTGACCAGAATTGCTAATTTTATTTGAAAACATAGCTGGATGAGATAAATATTCCACAAAATTTAAAAACCTTAGTTTAGTGAATTACCCGATCACTGGATTTTTTGTATGTAGTCTGACACTTTGACCCACCGCCAAGTCTACCTTTGCGTATATACTTGCTGGTGCAGGATTTGCATTAACCTAAATTACAGTTGATATCCTCATGATATCTGGGGGAGATTTATCGAGAGAAACAGGAGCTATTCCAGAGCAAATTGCTAGATGTTGATAATATACCTCCCAACACTGGGAGGTCCGGAATTGTGATGGATGGGTAAGATAACATACAGTTCGCTCGTGGTAAGTTAGGATACAACTATTTCACATTTACACACTGCAACTACACATCTATTTTAAGGTTCCTCTGCTGTGATTTACAGCTAGTCATCTTGCTGAGCCTGAATTTGGATGAATTTAGTGAGAGTTGAAGCCAATGGAGCTGTATTGTTTGACGAGTTGAGACAATCTCATCATAAGATGCTTGCATGGAGTACAACACCAAGCTCTGTCAGAGCAGAGTAGAAGATGGACTTATCATGTAAATTTAAAATAAAATAGTAGTATGGGCAACTGCAGTGAGTGCGGGGTATTGCAGAACCCCCAGTAATGTAGGGTGCACTGGGGTTATACAGAGCCCCCAGTAATGTGCAGTGTGAGGGCATATTGGGAGATTACAGAACCCTACACTGCATGGCCGTGCTCAGAAGTGAAGAACGCTCCAAAGCAAGAGCGTTCGGCTTTCTGACTGAGGTAGTGAAGACTCGGAGCGGCGTCTGCTCTTTTTTGTTAAATATCCCGCCATCCCTTCTTCCCACAAACCCTCCCCATGCCAAATCAGAGTGTGCTCAATCTGAAACCAGGACCAAAATTATTTTTTTTTAGCTAAAACTATGATAAAACTCATAGCTAATGCGCCCATCAAAACATGTAATAAGGCCCATAACAAACATTCAGCTCCCGGTCTAGAATTGCAGTTTTTCCCATAGTGGTATATTATTGCAGACTTGCAATCCCTCTATTCACAGCAAAAAAATTGATATGCTGTTATGTGTTCATCTATTTCACTGGCAAAACAAGTGAAGGGAAATTTTGACTGCGGAAGCAATTCATTTGAAAAAAAGTTATTTAAGTCACCATATGTCTTGTTTCATTGTTTCGTTCCTGTTTTATATATTGTCATTTCAGAAGAGCCTTAGTAAACGTTGACATTCATATTCTATCTGCTTGTCACGATGTATGGTCATTCTCTTTACCTCCATAACAATGGACAGCTACTACTAACATCATTCTCAGTCAAGATTGGTCTGGCTGAGAATGATGGTATTTGTCATGCACAACATGTAATCTTCTATAAATTCTCCATAAATCATTGTTTAGTGAAGGACTTGTCTAGGGTTGCTGATGAGAAGTTTTATATTAGAACCAAGACTGGCCTTCTAAATAAATTGAAGTTGTGGCATCTGTCAGAATGGTGTCTGATACCTTCAATAGGCCATTAAAGTTACATTCCGGTCCAGGCTCTTGTTGTATATTCCATTTCATTTCCTCCTCAAGCATCTCACGTCGCGCTGTATAAATGGTTTTCTGAAATCAAGATAAATAACATTAATTCTAACGAAGATTCCATATTTCTTCACTTTGTTAAATAAATACACCAAACAACACAACCACTATAGCCTGCTGGTGTCCATAGGACCCATATAAATTGGCAAACCATCCTGCAGTGTTTATGGTGCTTTGCGTGTGTATGTAGTGCAGCCCTATTTCACAATGTCAGTTGTTTTGTAGTCTGTATGCTTGTACCTGATGGTAACTCACCAACTTGTTACAGCTGGCTGGTTGAAAAGGGATCCACTACTTCTCTGAAAATTCCACTATTAAATGACACATCAAAAATCACCTATAAATTGTACTACTTTTTTTTTTTGTTATGAAGCTCTGTTTTCTTTCAAATCTGTATTAAACACATTGCAAATTACATCACAATCTAGTTCAGACAGGGCACACAATGCAAATAAAGAGAAGAAATTGAAACATTGTTTTTCTCCTCTTATCTGCATGCTCTCTCTATGCTGACTGCCAGGTGCAAAGGATGGAGCTTATCATAATGATTGACAGGGAGCTAAGATGGAGGCGCCCAGTTGCAGGATATATAGTAAACATTTTATAAACATCCTGGAAAGTAACAGTTACTCTTTAAAAATATAATGCCATACACTTATAGAATACTTTAAATTACCCAAGAGTACACCTGCTTGTTTAAAGGTCTGGATGCACAGCATCATGGGATTTTGCTAGTTTACATCACATGCCAAGCTGTGCCTTGAAACCCGATTTACATTAAGTAAATAAAAATTAATAATTCAGTATTTTGAAAATAAATTAAATGCACAATCCATAGCTAGCTTAGTACTCATTCCTACGCTTGTTGCAGTCTCTAACGTCAAAGCCGTAAGCCCTAAAATGGCAGTTACACCTATTAGTGCTTGGAAGCAAATATCACGCTTTCAAGCAACCGCATTGTGTTTAGTTTTTTGTTGTTTTTTTCTTGTGTCTTATCAAAATGAATATGAGTCACTAAGTAATATGTAGCAATGCAAAACTGGTTTTGCTAGTTATTTTTATGCCAATACTGAGCGTTGGTATTCATTATAATGCTCTAACCGCAGGAAGTGTCTTGTTTACTTACCTTTCCAGTGGATATAATCTTACTTGCAGTGTCATTCAACCATTTATTAAACAAGGCATCAAAAGCGTTAGATTCTTTCAGACAGAACACTTGCCTACAAGAAAAAAAGGTGTTAAAAGGCTTACATTACTCTTTTGCACAGTGAAGTGGATTACAATTGCTTTTGCCATTGTGTTATATTTAATTTGGTAACATTCCATCAATACATCCAGTGACACAGCCAAAGGTGATGCAAATTGTCTACAATGCATGCTTTTTTATGGGGAAATGGCTTGTTCCAGGATTTTTTAATATTAGTTTTATCTTATATTTAATAAACACGTGTTTATGAGGGATGACAAAATAAAAATGAATGTAGGAAGCCGTACTGTTATATGTATTACTATTTTAGAACTTGGCTCCTCCATATTGATTTTTTTTTTTGTCAGCCATTGTTATAAGCTCCACCTCTAGCAGCATCAATAGCCAGGTCGGAGCAAACTTTGGGGCTGACCAATGTCAATTTTGTGCAAAATTGGCATGCGACCCCTTCCTCCAGCCCCTCCCCTCCCCTCTCCATGCCATCCCTGTGCTTCCTGCCTCCCTTTTGCCCCCCGGTGGGGGGATTGACATCAGGCATGTAGGTCTGAGGGAGAACTTGGCTTTGGTCATGGAATGGAACATAGTTTTAGCTTCTGTGTTTAGCTTTTTTTTGCAGGGGCCAACATACATTTTCACTCCATGTACCAAGTAACCTAGGTACGATTCGGATAGGCTGTCTTCCCCCAAATTTTTAGGGTTGCTGTAGTAACAGCAGCAACAATCTGCTCGGAAATAAAATACTACCACCTTAAAATGCAAAAATTGTGTATCAACTCCCAATACCCACATGTAGCCATTGGTGTGCACAAAACATAACATTCCAGTGTGCATCTAAACGTTACTTTGAAAATACTAATTTAAAAAGAGGTGCAAAAGTCACATTATAACAATACTGGAATTTTTGAAGATACTTTTATAAAAGTTAGAGACTCTGTCTGAGTACATTCCAGGATAATGTCAGGAAGGCTGTAGTTGGCATGAAGCCTTGGCAGCAAGTCGTTATAAAGTTGGGCAGCTGCCTGTCACGGAAATTCCAAACTTTATTATAGACTGTAGGGGAAATCCCACTGTATTACCAAACTAGTATTTACTTCCACTTTTAACATTTGACAATCTTGATTATCTACAGACTACATTATATTGTCAAACATTTAACAGATATTTATTTCATTCTATTACAGTTAGAATTTCATAAAGAGAGCGGAATAGCCATAACTCGAAATGGAAGGACACCTATAGAAGGCATTTATATAATGTTGTAATCAGGGTCATCTATAATATTAATAGGACCCTGGGCAAAGCATTTTCTTGGGCCCCCTGGAATCTGTCTCCTCCCACTCTCTGGCATGCAATCACACCTTTCACCCTAATACAGTGGAGTAGTAAAGATGTGCAAGACATACTTACACAGACATATGCACTGACAGACATACTTTTAAACCCACCTCCAGTTTCCTACTTTGGAGGGTGGCTTCCCTGGTGTCCAGGGTGGTGGCTTAGGCTGTTGGGGATTGCCGACTGACTCTAGCGGCCCAGCCCCCCTCCTCTCTGCCTTCCTGGTCTCTCCTGTGTTACTCTCTCTGGGAGGAAGTGACTTGCACCTGTCACTTCCTCGCATGCTGCCAAAAAGCAAGGGGCCCCATTGTGCTGTTAAAGGGTCACAGCGCGGAACCGGCCCCCTGCTTACAAACGCCCGCCAGGTGGCCCTTAGTGAATGGGCCACTGTCACGGCACAGCCCGAGCCCTGCAGACAGCAAGGCGTGGCTGCCCCTTTAAGAGACCTGGCTGGCTTTGAACTCCAGCTCCAGCATCCCAGTCAGGTTCTCTGCCATGACATCCACCAGGGGGCTTCAGTTTCTGTTTGCATTTTTTTCTGCTTCCTGACCGTTTGCCTGGATTAAGCAGCACTGATCCACCTGCAGCCCTTTTCCAATTAGGGTCAGCTGCACCTAATAGCAGGCTGTAAAAGCCAGCCCTGCCTGAAACCTAGTATCTGGTCATTTTGCCTGTTTGGTGTTTCCTGCCGGATCTTTGCTACATTACTGACTGATTTCCTGGACTGTGACCTCTGCCTGCTTTACCAACTACGTTACTCCCCTGCCAGCCCTGACTTCTGCTTCTCGTCTGACCCTGCCTTTGGATAACCCCTTTATCTGTTCTGTGTTTTGGGGATTTTATCTCCTCCTTGTGCCATCTCCTGCAACTGGGCTCCAACTCCTGGTAAACTGTTCCATAAGTCCCCAGGTGACTGTTACATAATAGAAAAATTAAATAGATAGATTCACACACACTCAGGAAAAGTATATACAAAATATATACATAAATAGGTATACCACCTATTGTAGACGTAAATATGTTGGTTACATCTGAAAAACAAATGGAACATACATAGTGCTTTCCATATAAATTAAAATAAACAAATTATAATATTTGCGGATTAAACTCACAAAGGTGGAGCCTCATAGGCTCTATGTACATCACTCTTGGGTGCCTATTCAGGCTCTCGATAGATTCCTGTTGGAAGAACTCGAGGTCCACAGTAGTAGATGCAAATACAAATTTATTGAAATAAAATATTAAAAGAGAATATAAATAACTAGGGACAAGGCAGGTATAATCATGGAATATAATACAGTATTGCACCGCAAATATGGCCAAAAATTAAAAGCAGTGGAACACTACAATACATAAACAGTAAGAAAATACCGCCAGGAAAAAGTCCCAATAGAGAAGTCCAGTAAAAAAAGTATTGGGACTTTTTCCTGGCGGTATTTTCTTACTGTTTATGTATTGTAGTGTTCCACTGCTTTTAATTTTTGGCCATATTTGCGGTGCAATACTGTATTATATTCCATGATTATACCTGCCTTGTCCCTAGTTATTTATATTCTCTTTTAATATTTTATTTCAATAAATTTGTATTTGCATCTACTACTGTGGACTTCGAGTTCTTCCAACAGGAATCTATCGAGAGCCTGAATAGGCACCCAAGAGTGATGTACATAGAGCCTATGAGGCTCCACCTTTGTGAGTTTAATCCGCAAATATTATAATTTGTTTATTTTAATTTATATGGAAAGCACTATGTATGTTCCATTTGTTTTTCAGATGTAACCAACATATTTACGTCTACAATAGGTGGTATACCTATTTATGTATATATTTTGTATATACTTTTCCTGAGTGTGTGTGAATCTATCTATTTAATTTTTCTACTTTGTCTTTAGGTGTTAAGGGATTACACCTTTTTTCACACTCACTCATATTGTTTGTATTTAAGGTTGGAAGCGCCTACACAACTATATACTTTTTGTATATTTTGACTGTTACATAATGACCAGATCGACTACCATGGAGCCCGCGGACATGATGAATGTCCTGAGTACCCTCACACAGCAAGGGACCCTCCTGTCTGAAACCGTAAGTGAATTGCAGCGTGGCTATGCTGATTTAAAGGGGAACACACACCATGCTCCTGAACCTGATATTGCATTACCTGACAAGTTCACTGGGAAAAAGACTGAACTGCGATCATTTATCACAGCCTGCAAACTGCTCTTCACTTTAAAACCACTCACATACCCCAATGATTATGTGAAGGTTTGCACTACTATTGCCCTGCTGTCGGGTAAACCCCAAACCTGGGCACACCAACTCCTGCACACAAACAGTTCAATACTGTACTCATGGGACTCCTTTGCTGCAGCAATGCATACATTATACAATGACACCCTGAGACCCTCTGCTGCACGCACTGCCCTCCGTTCCCTCCGGCAAGGGAGAAGACCAGTGGAGGATTATACTTCAGATTTCCAGGAGCTAGCTGCTGACACCGGTTATAATGAGACTGGTCTAATAGAGCAATACAGATTGGGTCTGTTTGAGGCATTAAAAGATGAACTAGCCAGAGTTGGGGTACCCACTTCATTGGAAGACCTGTTCCTTCTGGTCACCCAGTGGTTCAGAGAAAGAAAGCAGGAACCATTTGAAACCAGCTTTTTGCCCCATCAACGTTCCAAACCTGCTGGTGCGACCTATACCCCTATCCCCACCATGGACAAAGAGGAACCCATGCAAATTAGAACACTGAATACCATGCTCACGGTAAATAAAAAAGCCAGAAGGAGAGCCAAAGTCCTTTGCTTCTATTGTGGCAAGGGAGGCCACTATTCGCTATTGCCTGATACGTCCTCCTCGCCCTAACCATAGCCATGTGGGGGCTCTGTGTCACCATCCAGCAAGTCCTCCATGGCAGCCTATGAAACACCTTTGTTGCTGTGGTACAACCCTGCATGCTAATGGACCAAAATGACCACCTAACCAGACCAATGGCACCATCACAGCCCTGGCTAACCCTGCTCCTGTTACAGAGCTTCAAAATGAGGCTGCTGTGGCTACCTTCCAATTCTCCGCTTCTGTCTCCCCTAAAGTTTCCTGCTCTAGCACAGAGGATCTGTCCCCGGACTGTGTAATTGCCTCCAATAGAACCGTGGCCGGCAGGCAAGATCTAAAGGTCTTTGAGCAGGCTCTTAAGGCCAGAGCTCCATCCCCTTCTTGCCTCCACTGCCTTCTCAAAGAATAATTCCTGGTAAACTGTTCCATAAGTCCCCAGGTGACTGTTACAGCCACCCGGTGGGCCTCCTTAGTGTGTGGGCCCCCATACACACACACTCTACACACACACACTGCCCCCCATACACAGACACTGCACTGCCCCCACACACTACCCCCCATACACACACACTCTACACACATACACTACCCGATACACACACACACTGCAATACTCACACACACTGCAACTGTTACACACATATACTGTCCCACACATACACTGCCGCCCTCACACATACTACAACCTTCTCTCACACACACACACACACACACACATTGCACCACTCACACACACCACTGCTCCTATGCCCTACTACTGCCCCATTTCCCAGCAGACCTCAGGTAAGTTGTCAAACTGTTCTTAAACGGTTTAACTACTTACTCTGGGAGGGGGTCCTGGCACTATTGACACCATAACCACTACAGTGAGCTGTAGTGGTTATTGTGTCTGGATTATTTCTTTAAATAATCTACAAGTGCCCCTCCCGAGATCAGGCTCTGGATCCGCCACTGCATAATATATCACCCCACTCTAGTTGTCAACGAAGTTTCCAAAACTCCCAAATGATGTATTCTAAACAGATGTCTCTGAGTGGGCAGAGGCATACATGAATCACTTGATAATCACCCAAACATTTTGGGCTGCCATAGCCAAATTTGACTTAACTCTGAAAGTCAGGCTATGTTTTCGTTTCATTTAGTTTGAACTAAAATCTGAAATTAACTTTAAATTCCTGGTAATTTAAACTTTAGTGACCAACCCTGTAATGCTTTGACTGAGCTTATGCTAAAATTGGTAGCCCAAAAAGATGTTTTACCTAGTCTCTTGGGAACATGCATGACACCCAGGCTGAAGATGGCTGCTTGGTGAGGTTTAAGGCTAGGGGGTGTGTTACAGCAAATATTCTGAGTAGACCTCTTGGTCATAAAAAAAATCTGGTCACAGTAAAATATTGAAAGGAATCTGTAAAGGCTGACTCTAAGCACCATGACCACTTAGAGGACCACTATAGTGCCAGGAAAACATACTCGTTTTCCTGGCACTATAGTGCCCTGAGGGTGCCCCCACCCTCAGGGACCCCCTCCCGCCCGGCTCTGGAGGGGGAAAGGGGTTAAAACTTACCTTTTTCCAGCGCTGGGCGGAGAGCTCTCCTCCTCCCCGTCGGCTGAATGCGCACGCGCGGCAAGAGCTGCGCGCGCATTCAGCCGGTCGCATAGGAAAGCATTTGTAATTTGAAAATCACAGTGAGAAGCACGCAAGCGCCTCTAGTGGCTGTCAATGAGACATCCACTAGAGGAAATAGGGGAAGGCTTAACCCATTCACAAACATAGCAGTTTCTCTGAAACTGCTATGTTTATGAAAAAATGGGTTAACCCTAGAATGACCAGGCACCCAGACCACTGAAGTGGTCTGGGTGCCTAGAGTGGTCCTTTAAGTGATTTGAAATGGTGCATGGAGACTGCATGTTCATTGTTTCGTTTTAAAACATGTACAGATCTAGATGGATTTACCCTGCTGCCCCTCAGCCCATCATAGAGTGCTAGTGTGTGAAAATAGTGGTGTGTTTTTATAGAGTGCCAGTATATGCATGCATAAGCATATCTGTGTGAAGTGTCAGTGTGCTTACGTGGGTATTTAGCGTGTATATGTGGGTGTACTTGTGCACTGTTTCTATTAGTATCTGCCCCTCTATATCTTTTTCATTCTCCATCCTCATCTATTCATTTATCACATGTGTTCCTCTCTTCCTTTCCCCAATTATTCCCCTCTCCGCATAACCCTCTGTCTCCAATTCTTGCCTTCATCCCGCTCCCCCCTCCCCTCACTTGTTCCCCTCTTCTTCCCCCCTTCTCTCCCCACTTCCCTCACTTGTTCCCCTCTTCTCTTTCCCCTTCAATCGCCTGTTCTGCTCTTCTGTCCTCCTTCCTCACACAACTGTTCTCCTACCCCCCCCCCCAAATCCACCACTTACTCCCCTTTGCTCGCTTGTTATCTTCTGTGCCCTCTCCCCATCGCTTTCTTGTTTTCCTCTACTTGCAGGCAGCGGAAGGTACAGGAGGTTGTGAGGGGGTTATGACACTGATGTCCTTTCCATGTGCTGTAGTTCCTTAAGCTGACTGCAGGGGAGAGGAAACCTGCCGCTGCAGGTACCGGGTGAGATGGGGAAAGAGCTATAATCCTTCTAGCCTGAACACTCCTGCTGTACCGCCAACGATGCACGGTTGCAGCAGGGCCACCCCTCTCCCGTGTGCCACTCCGAGGCTGTGTCCTTGGTGGTTTTATGGCATATCTGGCCCTGTATGCAAAGTTTACCCCCTCAGCTAACAGAAGTATAACTTCATCTCTGGCAGTGTCATATGAGTGTCATCAGCCAGCCCAGAACAAGAGATCTGATGCTTGGAGCTACCCTTTTAGTTCTACAACACTCACTTGATACAGGATGGGGTTTACATTTGGTTCTTCTCTCTGCGCTGGGAGAGGTTGGAGGAGCACCAGGAGAGAGCAGTATCTTGTAGACCGAGATTGCTGAGAATGAGAAGAAGCTATTGATGATCAATAGTGTCAAAGGCAGCAGAAAGATCAAGGAGAATTAGGATAGAGGAATGGCCACGAGATCTAGCAGCGGTTAAATCGTTGGATAATTTGGTCACAACTGTTTCAACAGAGTGACTAGTACGGAATCCAGACTGAAGCGGGTCAAGCAGAGAGTTGGATTCGGGGTAAGTCTGCCAATCTTGCATACACAACTCTCTCAAGGATCTTGGAGGCAAACTGTAGTAGCGATATATAGGGTGGTAGATGGATGGGGAGTTTGGGTCAAGGCTGGGCTTTTTCAGAATTGGCGTTATGGTTGCATGCTTGAAGGGTGAAGGAAATGTGCAGGAGGAAATGGAGAGATTTAAAATTTTAGTCAGAGGAAAAGCAAGAGAGGGAGACAGAGTGCAGACCAGATATGAGGGAATAGGATCAAGGGAACAGGTGGTGGGGCGGGAGGACCGGAGCAGAGCAGAAACCGCTTCCGTTTTAGTAGGTGCGAATGAGCATAGAACAATGGAGTGAGTGGGGTTGGGTTATGTATTGGAAGGGGATGGAGAGAGGTTAGAGATCTCTTCCCTGATTGTAGAAATCTTCTCTGTGAAGTGAGTAGCAAAGTTCGAAGCGGACAGGGTGGTAGGGGGAGGGGAGCAACAGGGCGAAGGAGAGCATTAAAAGTGTGAAATAGGCATTTGGGTTGGCAGGACAGTGTGCTTATGAGGGTGTTGAAGTAATTTACTTTTGCAGAGAAAAGAGCCAGAGTGTAGGAGCGCAGCATAAATTTATAGTGGAGGAAGTCAGATGCAGAGTGAGACTTTCTCCAACAATGTTCAGCAGTTCTGGAACATTTTTTGAGATATTGGTCAGCTTGGTGTGCCAGGGTTGCAATTGGGAATGCTTGCTGTGTTTTAAATGTAGGAGGTGCCATGATGTCTAGTTGAGAGGAGAGAGTGGAGTTGTAGAATGAGGTTGCATCGTTAGGGCAGGTGAGATTTGAGGTGGGTAAAAAGAGTTTGGTGGAGAAATGCTGGAGATCAAGGCAGTGGAGGTTTCTGCGAGATTGGAGAGTTGAGGGTGGTGAAATTTGGGTACGGGGTATGCCGATGTCAAAGGTCAGCAGATGGTGGTCAGACAGAGGAAATGGAACGTTGGAGGTGGTACAGACATTGGTGAAGATGAGGTCAAGAGTGTTTCCTGCTGTATGAGTTGCTGAAGTAGACCACTGTGTGAGGCCGAAGGAGGAGGTTACAGAGAGCAGACGGGAGGCATCAGGGCAGTTGAGGTTGTTGATTGGGATGTTAAAGTCCACAAGTATGAGGGATGGAGTTTTAGTCACAACCCTTAAACAGTGAATCAGTACAAGTAAGAATTGGAATCAAACTTTCCTTATGCACACAAACTCTACCCTGAAGACTTCCTCAATCTTCCAATATAAATACAAAAACACAATAGGGGTGTATCTGCTAGAAGAAATGAGCTTCAAAAACAAAATAAATGGAGGCGCAGTAAAAATAAAATCTGTACTCCTCTATTTTATATTCATTAAATAATACAGAATTATAGATTTTTATTTTTTTTAAATCCACATTTAGTGGCTTCTGCTGTAAAAAATTTTTTTATATAAATCATTTTCAATTTTTTGTTGCCGCGAACAGAACTCTGAATTATATTAGTCATTCTATTAGTCCATATGGCATTTTGGAGTAACGAAAGTCATCCAAAATTCAGACTAATCACAAATCGTTTGAAACCAAATGCACAAGTCTAGCTGATCGTAATACTTTACCAAAAACTGTTTTCCATTCTGGCATTTTCCGAATTCTCCTCCAAAAAGCAGTCTTTTTTCCAGGATATTCTGAATCATCCTGCATGGGGAATATCATATACTGATACAAATGTAAACATACATCTAATGGTAAGACCCACCTCCAATGTTCTTCAATTCCCCATCTATACAGAAGAACAGATTCTTCGTAATTTAAGTCTTCCTTTGCCAGTGATGACAGATGTTGTAGCATACAAACAGACAGGCATTCCAAATATACAATAAACAGGTCTCCAAGAAGGGATTTATTTTTGTTTATGTTCCTTAAAGTATTGCCCTCCAGTATTTCTAAGTGTCTTTTGAGGTTCATTTTAGCTTTCCTCTTGTATTCATGAGTTAAGACCTGTTCTCGGATGTGCTTACTAATTAGCTCTTCCAATGTGTTGTCCCAAGATTTAGGACTCCATTGAGCATCTTCATGGTCGCTTTCCTCTTTCACCCATTGTAAACAGTCAGCCACTGATTTTAGATGTACACATAGACTTTGATCACCGTTGAGAGCCTTCTCTACAGTCTCCCACATGTCGAATGCTAGTTCTTGGAACATTGTAACTGTGGTTTCAACGGCTGTTTGCTCTAGCCTAGAAATTAAAGTACAAGCTTCACGATACAGCTTCTTGCTCATAAGCTCCGAGAACGTTTCTAGAAAAGAAAAAACAAAAATTTTTCAATATTCAATGGAATGTGCAAAAAATAAATAAAAACATCGAACCTGTCTCTGATTTGGTCCAACAACACATACAGATACCTTGAATTTTGATTCTTACTTTTTTATATCTTTTATATTTATATTGCCACTATATATGTATTTGCCGTTGGAAATATATTAATTTCTGAATATATTTATTTATATTTATATTCTTTATTTTTTAAATTGTTGTGACCTAATGCATTTTTATTATTATTCTTTATTTAGGTTGTGCATGAGTTAACAAGCAGATGTGCACTGCCACAATAGCTAGTGCAAGCATAGCAATAAACATTGGTGATCAACAGTGTGGCTGCAGATACAATGCACGTTTTATTTTTATATAGAGGAGTAGTTAGTAAGCTAGAAACAGGTCTAGACTGTGCTTATCATACATTTGTACGTAAGGTTTTGCAATCTAGACTGATATTAGGTTAAAGCAAAAATGCTAATAGTTATACATGCTTGAATGTGAGCTATACAACCTGTGGGTGCAAATAGTGTTTAGTCGAATAACATCTATTGATGTCCCCCCTACGATCCCCTGGATGATCATAAACGAAATAATAAGTTCACTAGAGCGTACATAAATCTTATGAGAGTGTTCATCTGAAGCATAGTAAGGTGAGAGATATAGGGCACTTTGCCTGGTATTATGTCCCAGTCCTGGTTCAGCCGATGCCTAGCCGATGCTGTGTGTATTTCCGCCGCTCTGTTCGTTGCAGCTTGCTCCATCTCCAGGGTATGGGGAAGCGTGGAGCCCCTGTGCCGCTAGGCGGTGTGCTTGTCTGAGGATATGTACTCCAAGGTATGTTCAGAGCTGGGTTTGCCTGTCGGGGGCTGCTATCTCTTCATTAGCCCTCCTGATGCGGTCGCTCTCTTGAGTCTTGCGCCCCTCCTGGGGTTCATATGGCGTTGCCGGGAGGCGGTCATTGCTATGCCCGCCATGGATGGATGGTCGGGTTTGGTCACTGCCTTACCCCCCTGGGTCACACGCGTCTGGTTCCGTGGCGGGTCCTTGGGCAGTGCCCCTGGTACTGGGGGCTGCATGCGGGCCTCTAGTTTCTCCCAGAAGGAGGCGAATATTTTGTTCAGCCTGCGTTCAGTGTCTGTCCATGTTTGGCTGAGGCCGGTGTCGTGGCAGGCATCTGCTATTTTAGAGGTCTTTCTGGTGTTAGGGTTAGGGCCCTGTGTCGATGTATTGAGTCCCCTGCTTTGTTTGGGGTTCGCATGAGGGTGGACCGGGATAACCCCCGCCGGTCCAGGGGGGGGGATGTAGGTCCAGTCTTAGGGTCTCAGTTTGTAGTGCCTGCGGGAGAGCGGCCGTCTCCCCCACGCCAGCCATGCTTGTAGGCCGCAGAGTAGTTGCGAGTGGCCACAGCTCGGATTGTCGCTTGGATGGTATCATCCTATTCGTCTCAGTGTCAGCAAGAGCTGGGTGGCCTCTCTGTAGTGAGAAATCGTCTTTTTGTTAGTGAAATTCAGCTTTTTCTTTGGCAGTCAGCAGGAGCTGCAGAGGTTTGCTTCCTCTCAGCTCTGCGGTCAGGCCCCGCCACCGACATAATGCATTTTTAAACGTTCCCTCACTTTTTTCCACCAGAAAAGTGTCATGTTTTCATTCTCAATTTCCTGCCATTTCCTGCTAAACTTGGCAGTCTGTTTTCCAAAATCGATATTTCTATAAAAAAATTCAGAATTCAGGTAGAAAGCTAAAACTTTTTAGACCATTTTTAGAACAATCTAATTAATACAAACAGATTAGAGACCATAAATAAAGACACTTTTTAGAAAACTCTGATATATCTTCCCAAATGTTGTGGTTTTCTCCAGCATTCACTATATTTTTTTTATGTAGTTTTCTGAGAAACAAAGCATTTTTTTCTCTGTTTTGTAATTAAAAGTACTGGGACACATTAAGACTTTGTGACATGAACCTGTGGTCTGTGAGTTATAGTGAGAGCAATTTACTAATGCAACAAGAAAGTCTCTTATTTGTTCTTTAAATTAATTATGGGGTTGAATCCCTTTTCCAGATATAATTTAAAGCAATTTATTGATTCTTTGCTAAGATATAATCTAAGCACCTCCTCAACTCACTGACAGCCCATTCTCCCCACCCAATGCTCACATAACAGTCCCTACCACACCCCAAACATCCAGTACAAAACATATCCCCCACATACATACATTACAATCATAATTTCTCCTAAATTTACACTAAAGTCCTTATACCCCACAACGTAGCCTAGAGCCCACCCCCCACCAAATTTACCCTACAGCCCATTGCCCATATCCCTCCCAAGCACCCCCTACAGCCTCCACCCCACTGAATATACCCTAAATCTCAAATCCATTTCAAGCACACCCTACCATCCCTTCTTACCCCAACACATACCCTACAGACCCTATTACTCCAAACACCCTACAGCACATATTCCATCCAGCCACCCTTCCCTTCCCTTGAATGTAGCCACTTGAATTTAACCAACCATTGTCAGAAACAAACACTCTTATAAGTAACTATAATCTGATATCACATTCCTATTCATGCTCTTTAAACATGGCCTACTGCTTTAGCACTTTGGTTACATCACAGTCGCACCTTGCACATATCCTACATATCCATTCACACGGATACCAGAACTCACGGGTGTAGTTGGAAAAAGAAAGAAGAGCAAATTTTGAGCAAACCCCACAAATTTCGTTTTTAATCCTTTCGCCTCTAACGAGGCCCCGAAGTCCATAATCCTTTAACACTACCGAAGATCGTGCTTCAGACATTAAAAGAATGGTTTGATAGATCATGTTACAACTATGACAAAATACAATGCGCGGAACGTAATGCGTCACTGTGGTCTATGGGTGTAATTAAGCCACCAGGGCAGGTGATCTGGTTAAAACCCACAGAATTATAAATATTCATCTAGGAGAAACTGGATGGAAAATTCCCTTTTCACATGACGATGATAACATTTATTATGAAAGATCTTGAGGGTTCTAATTCTATCACTCAAAGTATATCACCCCCAACACAATGAACTCACACCCAAAACTCAATCAATAATGAATATTTTCTGTCATTCTGCCAATCTCATTACCATTTTTTTATTTTCGCTTTGCATCTTGTGACATTAAATGGCAGGACGGGAAAGTCCCATAATTTTACCTGCACTTTTGAAATTGTCTCAGGATGGGGCTCACTTGATGAATAAGCTAAAGAGACCAATTCAAATATTTAGAATATAAATTAGGATTGTTAGACTAAGCGGAATGACTAGAGACACACAGGCTAATAATTACCCACTTTTTAATATATTACATAAATAATGCATAATGAATTATGTAAAAAGTAAAGAAATAAAGTAACAACAATGACATAATAAATTAATAATAACCTATAAAGTCCCTGTATGCAGTTTCAGCATTAAGCAGCAACCAGTCCTGTTTTTACAATCCATTCTCCGTCTTCCCTACAGATACAATGTTTTTGTGTGTGTGCTTCCAGCTTTAGACAGATGCTCCCTTATCGGGGAGAAGGACTCCAATCAGAAATGTCTCATTCTGGTTCGGGGGTTCTATTCTTATTCCATACACCCATGTCCAGTATGTGTTAAATGTATATATCATTTATCCCCCAAAAGCAGGCCACTCCTCTTATAGAATTATTGGAATGTTTTATAAATTGATAGAAGCAATACCGGTTTCCTATCCGTTTATTATTATTATTGCCATTTATATAGCGCCAACAGATTTCGTAGCGCTTTACAATATTATAAGAGGGGGGGATTATAGCTATAAATAGGACAATTACAAGAAAACTTACAGGAACGATAGGTTGAACAGGATCTTGCTCAAACGAGCTTACAGTCTATAGGAGGTGGGGTATAAAACACAATAGTACAGGAAATAGCAATCAAATAAGGTGGGAGTGAAGCAGAGCTGGAGGAGACAGTAGAGTGCTGCCCTATAGGAGAGAGCAAGAGACAGGTATGTGAGATAGAGGTTACTCTGGGAGGCCATAAGCTTTCCAAAAGAGATGGATTTTTAAGGCACTTCTTAAAGGGACACTCCAGGCACCCAGACCACTTCTGCCCATTGGAGTGGTTTGGGTGCCAACTCCCACTACTCTTAACCCTGCAAGTGTAATTATTGCAGTTTTTTATAAACTGCAATATTTACCTTGCAGGGTTAACTCCACCTCTAGTAGCTGTCTACTAGACAGCCACTAGAGGGCACTTCCGGGTTTCTAGCACAGGAAACCTGTGCTAGAGCGTCGCTGGACGTCCAGCGCGTTAGGTCTCCCCGGCCGGTGGGCGGGATCAGTCTCGCCCACCGGCCGATGCAATGCAGAGGAGGAGGAGCGGCGACGGAGGAGGAAGCAGCGACGGAGGAGGAAGCAGCGACGAGGGACATCGTCGCTGCCTCAGGTAAGTTACTGAAGGGGTTTTCACCCCTTCAGCAACTGGGGATTGGGGGGAGGGAGAGGGGACCTGCAGTGCCAGGAAAACGGATTGTTCTCCTGGCACTGAAGTTTCCCTTTAAACGATTGAAGACTAGGGGAGAGTCTGGTGGTGGTAGGCAGGCTGTTACATAGGAAGGGAGCCGCCCGCGAGAAGTTTGATGGGAGATGTAGTCCACAACATCAGGAGTGCAGAAGGTTGCCTACACCTGGTTTAGGCTGTGTCAGCATGCGCATGCCGCCCCCTCATTTTTATCTAAATGGATATTACTGGTCAGGAAGATCAACCAGCTACATGCACCACATCAGTACTAATTATTATAAAAGATAATCTAAGAATCCAGTATTAGACTGCTTGTTTCCTAACCACTTCAGTCAGCTGAAACGTTTAAGGTTCTCAAAATGAATCTCAAACTAAATAATTTTGGAAATGTGCGAGCATGCTTGTTTTCATTCAAAATTCTACCAGTGGCACACACAAAAAAAGTTTATACATGGGGGAAAAAGCTGATTGACAGCAAGGGAACAGTTACTAAATACAGGGAACCATTCGTGGCCAGCAGAGGGAGGAAAGTGGTCTGGGTGCCAACTCCCACTACCCTTAACCCTGCAAGTGTGATTATTGCAGGTTTTATAAACTGCAATAATTATTTTGCAGGGTTAAGTCCTCCTGATGACTGTCTATCAGACAGCCACTAGAGGGACCTCCATGTTCTTAGAACATGAAAAGTGTGTTATAGGACACTATGCATGAGGACCTCCAGAATCTCCATAGGAAAGCACTGAATAAGTCACTAAAGGGGTTTTAACCCCTTCAGCAACATGGGATAGGGGTGGGAAGGAGAGGGGCACTGCAGGGTCCTGCAGTGACAGGAAAACTGATATGTTTTCCAGGCACTGGAGAGTCCCTTTACGAAAACTAAAGCTATACTCCTGTATTGTAAATTTCTAAAAGATTTTTTTTTTTTTAATTACTCCTCTTTTTCCCCCTCTTTTTGGTTACTTTTTTCACTTTATTTATGAGCCATATGGTAAGAAAATGCTCCTATCAGTCTATTGTAAAATATATACATTATATTATATTACACTATTATAATGTACTAATTGGGCCACTATCGCGCCATTTTGGTTCACCTGTTTCATTTTCCCAAATCTTTATTCATTAATAGAATTCGGACAGGCCAAACTGCCTTATGGCTTATATTTGGGCCGTCCCAAAACATTTTTTGTTCGCTGTGTACAAGCCTAATGGGATTACTAATTTAGCAATAAAACAAAAAATGTTTAAATTAACACGACAAACCTCATACAAACAAACAGCATGTGCATGATTAGTAGCTTTTCCTGGGAATGTCCGTTCATTGTACTGCACCATGTCTTTCTGCTTGGCAAAAAATTATACTCGCCAAAGAAAATTATTCTATTAAAAACCAGAGGCTGCCTACTCAAACCCGCTTTTTTTCAAAAAAATTTTGTTTTAAATTTTTATTTTTTTATTTTTTTCAAAATCTTAGTATTTTTTTTACTGTATTTTCTGCGCACAGTATTTCGTTCTTTAGATTATATATATATATATATATATATATATATAAAGATATATATATATATATATATATATATCTTATAGTATGTTCTTTTATAATTATGCAAAATTAGTACAATGTTGTATTGTCAAAAATAGTGACAAATGTACCTAAATATTTGTCCTGGCAAAAAATAATATATTTATCTTCATAACCGATATTACAGATTCGCTGCTTAAAACATGCATGAATCCTTGTCATCGTCATTTTCAGGGATGGGAGGTGGTTAACCCTTTATGTACCACGGTGTTAACATACTTTCCTGACACTCAGCGTATTGTGAGCTACTCATTAGGGGTTGTCAGTCTTCGGCACTCCAAATGGTGTGGACTGCATTTCCCATAATCCTCCTAGAGCCATAATACTGGCGAAGCATCAGTGGAGATGTAGTCCCCAACATCTGTATTGCCAAAGGTTGCCTACCCCGGCTGTAGATTATCAATACGTATCTACAGTGGTGTGCAGTACAATTCATCAGGGTATGCGTTTTTTTGTTGTTGTTTTTGTTTACAAAAGAAAAGAGAATAAAGGTTTTGGGGTTTTTAAATTCATCAAACAAGCCGAAATTTTTTACTTTTTTTTTTTTTTTTTAACAAGTTAACAATGAAACACGTTTAGAATATAAACATAAAAAAAACAAAAAATGTTTTGATCTTGTGACCTCTCTGACAAGATGATGAGCTGTTTTAAACTCGCACATTAGTGCATGCCGCCCCTCTTGCGCACTCCTATGCATCTAAATCACTTACCTGACGATGCTTCCTGATCAACGTAGACCTTTGTGGTATAGTTTTTCTTAAAGTGTGTTCCTCGTATGATCTCTGCACATATCTTCTTAAATTCTTCTCCCAGCTGTTTCATCGCCTGATTGTTTTTTGGTAATTCCTCTGGGAGAAGATGATACGATTCAGACTTTTTTTGGGATTTTAGCCAGGATAGTATTTTTTTCTTTTTGTTTGCCATGTGCACGCCTGTCTCTAAGCTTCTGACAAACGTGTAGGATTTGTAAGCAGTACTTCTCCAGCGCAGTTTAAAAAGAAACTAAAATCTGTGAGCCGTTTCACCCTCTGTGAAAGGAAGGTCTGAGGTCTGTTAGCTCATACTGATGTTGGGCTGAATCCTGTCTGCAGCCAGAATCCTTTCACACTGAGCTTAGGACGTCTGATAAGAGAGGACACCAAACATTTACTTTATAAACTAGGGACAAGCCACACCTTTCGTGTCGGATATTCCCTACTGATATATTACATCAGGACTGATTAAATCTGGAAAATCCCATTCTCCAATTATTATTTTTTTTATTTTTTTTTAGCCTGGATACATTGAAAGCGTGGATACAGACTCTTAGAACTTTGCTATCAATGAGATGAAGTATCTCTGTGCCCAAAAGGTAGATCCCCGGATGTTGTAAAACTACAGCTTCCATGATGCTTTGCCACTCTAAAAGCATTCTAAAGGCATGCAAAGCATCATGGGAGTTGCAGTTGTACAACATCTGGGGATCTACCTTTTGGGCACCTCTGATATAAAGGAACACTATAACTTGACCCTTCCCCTAGTTATATACATGCTCCTACCACCCCTGTGCAATAAAAATTAAATGAACCATATTCCGATCACTAAAGTGCTGGTGGGGCTGTTTAGGTGACGGGCCCACTCTGATCTTTACTTACTTTTCCTTCTATGTTGCGCCGCTCTTTCTGCAGCTGACTCCGCCTCCTTTAACATCACTGAAAACTGTAATGATACAAGACTAAAGTGCGGTCATATGACTCAATTTTGTACAGCTATATAAAGCAAGGACTCCAGGACCTTATCATACCTTCCAAGTGTCCCTATTTAGGAGAGACAGTCCCTATTTTGGGCTGAAATCCCTCTGTCTCTCTTTTTTATTCTAATGTCCCTCTCTGTTAGGAGCTCCATATTGTTGGTGTGTCTGAGTGTATAACAGAGCTCCACAGCAATAATACTCCCAGTAATGTGTCTGAGTGTATAACAGAGCTCCACAGCAATAATACTCCCAGTAATGTGTCGGAGTGTATAACAGAGCTCCACAGCATTAATACTCCCAGTAATGTGTCGGAGTGTATAACAGAGCTCTACAACAATAATACTCCCAGTAATGTGTATGAATGTATAACAGAGCTCCACAACAATAATACTCCCAGTAATGTGTCGGAGTAATGTATGTATAACAGAGCTCCACAGCATTAATACTCCCAGTAATGTGTCGGAGTGTATAACAGAGCTCTACAACAATAATACTCCCAGTAATGTGTATGAATGTATAACAGAGCTCCACAGCAATAATACTCCCAGTCATGTGTCTGAGTGTATAACAGAGCTCCACAGCAATAATACTCCCAGTAATGTGTCTGAGTGTATAACAGAGCTCCCAGCAATAATACTACCAGTAATGTGTCTGAGTGTATAACAGAGCTCCACAGCAATAATACTCCCAGTAATGTGTCTGAGTGTAAAACAGAGCTCCACAGCAATAATACTCCCAGCAATGTGTCTGAGTGTATAACAGAGCTCCACAGCAATAAGACTCCCAGTAATGTGTCTGAGTGTATAACAGAGCTCCACAGCAATAATACTCCCAGTAATGTGTCTGAGTGTATAACAGAGCTCCACAGCAATAATACTCCCAGTAATGTGTCAGAGTGTATAACAGAGCTCCACAGCAATAATACTCCCAGTAATGTGTCTGAGCGTATAACAGAGCTCCACAGCAATAATACTGCCAGTAATGTGTCTGAGCTTATAACAGAGCTCCACATCAATAATACTCCCAGTGTGTGTGTCTGTCAGTGAGTGAGTGTGTGTGTCTGACAGTGTGTGTCTGTCAGTGAGTTAGAGACATGAGGGGGCGGCAAAATGGATCTTTGCCTAGGGCGTCAGAAATCCTTGCACTGGCCCTGCACACAATCTCACTGATTTGCAACACACTCATGGACAGACACACAAACTCACTGACACACACATTCTCAATGACAGACACACAATCTCACTGATTTGAAACACACCTTCTAAAAGACACACTTAAAGACACACAGACATACATTCTTTTTTTGGAAATAGACCAGTATGTACATGTTCCTTATTGAACTTGGAAGGATCTTGTCAAGAAATAAAACCTCACAGTTCTGCTTTTTTCCACTTCATTTTCCACATTGCTATCACATGTATAATTTACATGAGTAAAGAATGATATACGGAATTTTTTTACAAAATAAGCAAAGTTAAACAATGAACTATAAAAATTAAAATAATCAGATTTATGTTAAAAATATAAAAATATCAAATTATTTTACTATGTATTTCTTATTTATGTTATGCTGTGTGTGAACATATTTTGGTAATTTTCATCCATTTGCAATTAATTGTCCTTGGAACGACAGACGCACACTCTCAATGACAGACACACAATCTCACTGATTTGAAGCACACTCAATGAAAGACACGACACACATTCACCGATAGACAAGTCAAGACACACATACACTGACAGGCGCACACACACAGTCAATGACAGACGTGTACATTCACTGATAGACACTCACTGACAAACACATACTAACAGACACACACACTCACTTGTAGTGAATTGTAGTGATTTGAAATTTGAATAGCAAATTTTAATCTAAATTAGCCAAACTGTAACTACAAGTGAGTTGGAGAATTCTCAGCAATTTTAGCATCAGCTTTGCCAGTGGTATTTTAATTATATACAATCCTGTTTTTGTAAATAATAGTGACTGGCTTCCCTGTTCTAGTTGGCTGAATGTCAATATTGACTGTAACTATTTTTTTATTTTTATTTTTGTCGTGCAAGTTAAAACAAGGTACAGCCCGTTAGGCCACAACAGTCACACGGGATTAGCGATTGACAGAGGATAACACAAAGCTGGTAGACATATATTCCTAGTACTGTTACATCGTGTGTCATCTGTTTTTTATGTGTTAATGATCTCAAGCTATATGGACATGTGTAAAACCCAACTAAAGCCACTAGCATCTCGCTAACATTTGTAGTCTTATCTGGCAGGATTGGTAGGGTGCATACCCCCAGTCTGGAATAGTGCACACTGCTTGATATGCGGTGGTAGTGAAAAATAATATTCATTTCAACAGAGAAATCATAACAATAACCATAGAGTCCTAATGAGACATTGAGTTAGAATGTTGGGAGCCTTTGACAACCGGCAGTGGGGTAGCAGGTGCAAGATTGGTCGTGCGTTCCTCAACTGTCTAGCTTCGAAGGTTGTATGCTATGCTAGAGTATGCATCTCCTAGTTGGGATTCGTCTGAGGAGTATTTAGAATAAGGCTGTATGATGCCAGCAGGTCCTCACCAAGGGTATGTGTGAGTTGTGGTGCATGTAAGAGTTGCGATTTTGGTCATCGTGTGAATGTTTGCCACCCCTAAGTTGCCGGCGGACCTGCTTGTGATTTGGTCAAGTACGATGGCGACTCCTAACCATGGAGGTGACGGGGGGGGGAAGTATTAACTGGTGAGATCCTGTGTAATAGCGTAGGGACCTCCCAATGATGAGCACCCATGCCTAACTGGGCTGTGCCCAGTGTGAGGAGATTTGAATCTTATGATAAACGCTTAACCCACAATAAGGTGTAACATAAAAAAGAAAACGATGCCCCTTGTTTCTCTGCGCTCCAAGGGACAAAGGATGTTGTTCTCTCTGGGTCCCAGCTGTGTGATGTTGAAGGAGTCGCCTGCGGCTTGGCCTGCATAGCATCCCCAGCACCCGCAGAAACAGTTCGCCGTCTTTCAACGAGGACAGACTAAGTGTGGTTCCCTCTTTGATCACCATTACTGATCTGTGCAGTGTCCATTTGTAGTCGATGTTAGCATCATGCAGTTGGCTGGTTACTTGGCTCAAGGACCTGCGCCATACTAGAGTGTTCCATGTCAAGTCCTGGTAGAAGGTTAGATGACTCGAAGGCAAGTGGGGTCTTTCCCCAGACTGCAGTGAGAAGCCTTATTTTTTCCATTGCAGAGTGGCACCTTATGATGACATCCTGAGAAGCAGCGGGTGGTGCTTGTCTAAGCTTGCGGATGCGAAAAAAGCAATCCAGCACAAGTTTTTTTTCGCTTGGGCATGTGGTAGGAGTGTGGCTGTGAGGTGTCTAAGGTAGTGGGGCAGTTCGGTAGAGTCAATATTGTCAGGGATCCCCCTAATTTTAATGTTAGCGTGCCTATTCCGGTCCTCTGCCACTTCTACCTTTGTAGTGAGGGTGGACTAGGAGGCTTGCAGTTGGTGAACATGTTACTTTAGCCCATCAACCTCCTGTTTCAAATCCAGAATATCCTTCTCAGAGGCCTGTGTGCACGTGGTCACCGCCTGTATTTTGGTCTTGAGCAAGTAAAGATCCACGTCATGCATTTGTCTCATCTCCTGTAGCAGGTCAGCAATGTCCTGTTTAGTGGCCGGGGTGTGCTTGTCTCTGCTTGCTGTTGTCCCCGTGGTTGGTGGTGTAGGAGAGGACTCCGGCAGATCTACGGATTGCCCCTCTGCGTCTTGTGAGTCCATCTCACGGTTCGGCGAGGTCGCTGGAACAGGGCACCTATGTCTTGTGTGGCCCTGCTTGTATTCGGGGGAGGCCTCTGGGACCTTCTACCCATATTGTAAGTGTCAAGTGTGGCAGGACAGTTCAGCAATTGGGTGCCGATTGGTGGTCTTTGCACCAGTATCTCTGGCGCAAGCTTCATGGCGGGAAACTCAAGGTAGGCCCCAGTCCTCAGTCTTACCCTTTTGCGGGAACAATAAAGGCATCAGCCTGTTGTGTCCACGAGGGGTGCCCAGGTAGGTAGCTGTACCCGTCGATGGCATTGTAGGGACGCAGGTTGGTTTAGATTTGTCACAGTTTGTCGGGAGCTCTGCAGGGAATTCAGTTCAAGCGCTAGACTCCGCCACCTTGACTGTAACTATTATCATAGTTGGTGACTTGATTTTTAAAACAAATGGAAATATATTTCTGTATAACTTACTGCTGTGCGTCTCTACATATTGTCGAACTATTACATATTGAAACACCAGCAAAAACTATTTACTGTGCAAATCTAGGTGAGCCTACAGGTGGTTTTATAAAATCTTCCCGGCCTATCACAGGCTAGCGTTTAAAATAATATTTTATTGTTTTACTAAACTGGTTTCTTAATAATTGCAATCACCAGGTGCTGAGTTCATCCTGCAGTGAATGGCTTTCTTTGTATACAAAACAGAAAAGTCAATGCTTCCTCTTTGCTGATAGAAACAATAGGTGAAATATAGCAGTGTAGAATATATTCCAGATACAAAGGTGCGTCTGTTTTAATCTGTGTAGATGCAGATAAAGTTTTAGGAAGTCTGATAAAGTTATATTTATGACTATACCTAATTAAACAGAACACATTATTGGTTTTAGGGGGGGGATTTCAGTTCTATGAATTTTTCTTTATTTAAAAATATACAGTTCCTATTTCTTGTGAACAATGAACTGCGTTTGAAAAGTGCCTTTATAACAGTAGATCAGTGAAGAAATATATTAACCCCTTTAAAACCAGGGTTGTCCAAATCCCATGACGTGTCTTTGGTCCAAAAAGGGTCAAATCGAATTTCAAATCGAGGGTCAAAGCGAATGTTAGCAGTTCCACTAACCAAGTTGTCGTAGCTCTCTGTCTTTACAAATCACAAGGATGAATTCCGTCGGTTTTTCAACCAATTCTATCCCGGAACAGGGTGACTCCATTTTGGCTCCCTGTCCAATATTTGTCTATAAATGTTGCCCTATTCTATCACTAAACAAAGTAAAAGAGGGCAAACAGAAAAAGAAAATAATCTGTTTTCGTTGGATTGTGATATAATTTCTTCCAGAATTTTAATATACTTTTATAAGAAAACTAAACATCACATGAAAAAAGATCCGTTAACAGAAGTTATAGGTGATTTTCTAACGATTTATACGAGGGTGTAATCTCCTGTGAAAAGCCAGTTTCCATTTTGAACTTTAATGAACAGGGGGATTATTTACCAAACAGTAAATTGAAAATCGGAATTCTATTTAGTACAAGAATTCTCCACAATTTTATCCTAAATGTTGTCTTTTGGCTTTCAATTCATTACACTGTGATGCTTAGGAATAAACTATAGATGTATAAATTAGCCTAAATATGTAGTTTGTTCTTGATTTAAACACCACAAACAAATGCCAAATGTTTGTTTTGCCATCCTAAAATGTCCTTTTGCTTCCTCCAATTAAAAAAAAAAAAAAAAACAACAAAAAAAGTGTTCCTTTTTATTATTTGTGACATTGGGAGGTCTGTTAATGGAATCATCGACATTCTAAAATATTTTTAAAATTCTTAATTTCAGGGTTTCTTGTACTTAAGAAAAGTGATCAATTTAAATGATAATTAATTTAAGCAACACTTTGATCTTCCAGTATTATCAAAGCTTGTTATGAATTGGATTAATAATTTGTAAAATCGAACTCAACACTTTTTAAATTAGGTTTTCCGTTTTCAGTGTCGGTGATTAACGTTATGAAGCTCTGCTTTATGGGCATAGCAGTGAGTTTTATATAAGTTTCTACAGTAGAAAGCTCACAACTCAAATTCATATCCCAGAAAATCTTTCCTGCAAAGCTGTACTGCAGTATTAATGGTGTATTGCCAGTTACAGAGCAAATATTTATTTGTGAGCTTACAGCAATGACAATGGCGAACATGGGCCAAGATGGAGGTACCCAGTTTCAGGGTAACATTTTATATTCCACACTTCACAAATAAATACTAGGTAGGGATAAGTAAACATGCATCACAAGCAAGCACTTTTAAACAAATATTCAAACCAAAAGAAAACAATAAAGAAAACTATGACAAGTATGTAATAAACTATATAAACTTACTATAAACTTAGTCAGATTGCATTACTAGGCACGCCTCTCAGCTCCCACCCTTACCCACAAACTAATCCAGTACAGATCACTCCACTAATG